CGTGCGCCACCAACGCCCGGCTTGTTTTGTTTTTTGTTTTTTTGTTTTCCAGACAGGGTTTCTCTGTAGCTTTGGAGCCTGTCCTGGAACTCACTCTGTAGCCCAGGCTGGCCACGAACTCACAGAGATCCGCCTGGCTCTGCCTCCCAAGTGCTGGGATTAAAGGCATGCGCCACCACCGCCCGGCTATGATGTTGATATTTTAAACTATTAAAATTTGGAGTACTTGGTAATGCAGCAATAGATAACGAATACTTACCAACTCTGATCCAGCAATGGCACTTCCAGTTTTAGCTCTCTACTTTCCCAACAAAGTAAAACCTCTTGTTTAGATTCAGACCTGGATCCAAGTATAAAAATACAAAATAATATAACACTTTGGAGTTCGTGGGCACTTGGTGGATATTTTCATGGCTTACTATGCATATGTGTATATGCATATACATTCCTGAATTGTAATTCTATGTATGGTTTTCCTGTATATTAATGGATATAGTTATTCTATAATTCCTATAGGAAAAAAATTAATATTGTGCTTGTTTCTAAGCATTCTTAACCATACATCTGTTAAACTGAACCCATAGTTCCTAGAAGTGGAAGAAAGTAATTTGCTGAGATGTCACTCAGGAATTTTCCCCAGGAAAGCCTGGAAGTGGAGAGCTTTCGCACGAGGTTCAGTGCCTGGACTCCCTTTACCAACCAGTCCTTAAACAGACAGGTGAGTGCCATGCTCTGTAGTAGAAATGAGGTCAGTTGGTAAAGTCAGTTTTACTGGGTATGTCAAGTCTTACTTTGTCATGTTTTTAAAGAAAAAATAGTTTAGTTTTGGTGTTTTTTTTTTTTTTTTTTTAATAAAACCGTGGCTACGTCTCAAAGTGAGAATCTTCTCACCCAAGACTGTTACCTAGGGGTACCACATCTGCCCCCTGCTCTCAATCTGCACCTCCAGGACGTCACGAGCTTCTGGAGTGGGGGAGGAAAAGTAAGGAAAGGCTTTGGAGAGTTGGCAAGGACACTTTCACGTATGTTTCCGTGTCTTTTTTTTTTTTTTTTTTTTTTTTTTTTTTTGAGCTGAGGATCGAACCCAGGGCCTTGTGCTTGCTAGGCAAGCGTTCTACCACTGAGCTAAATCCCCAATCCCATTTCTGTGTCTTTAATCTACTCTTCCATCGTGTGCCCACTTCATGATTCCATGTAGCCTGAGAGCACCCGTTCTTTTGAAAAATAATTCAAGAAGAATTCTTTGGACAACAGGCCAGTCTTGCCAGGTTTTCATGGAGACAGAGCTCATGTAGATTCAGCTGCTTCCACAGATGGAGGAGAGGAGGTGTAGCTGGGGATTAAGCTTGATCTACAATAAGGACAATGAATTTGTATATGCCTTTGTGTAAGCAACGCTGGCTGAAACCCGGCTTTCAGAGATGTTGGTTCATGCTGTACGTCCTCACTGGAGACTCAGCTAACAATGGCATTGTGCGATAATAACTAATTTTTAGTTGTATGGTCATTATAAAGCTCCAAAGCCAGGAGTCAAGAACATCAAACCTCTATTAAATGGTCCTGCTTCCTCCACAATTCAGTGAGTAGGGCCTGTAGATAAGATGAAATATTTGGATTCTCGCCCTGGGCCACACTAAGCTGGGTAAATCCAGGAGTGGTGATTCCCCTTTGCCCTTTGTTCTCCAGAGGCTCCTCCCGGCCCCTCTGTAATCAGACACCCCCTGGTTTTTCCTACTGGCCCACCCAACAAGCCCTGGCTTGCCTGGAAGGCTGGATAAAAACACTTTAAGCCCAGAAGAGAGACCCTACAGCCTATGTGGAAGTACTTGTAAACTGCCATGAATGATGTAAATATCAGCTATGAGGTTTTTAGTCGACCAACTGCTTAGCAACTGAGAACTAACAGAACTGGACAGTGAAATCTCCTTCTTGTCTCTTCTAGCTCTTTCAAGAAAGAGTTACTCTCATAACTCACTGGTTTGGCCTCTGGACCAACAAGCAACGGCGGGAATTCTTATTCACAATTCTTTCACAATGCTCTAAATCACAACTAAGGTAAAAATAGCATAATGGTGTAATTATTGATTCTTAAGGAAACCAAAATATGGTAACATGTTCATATAATCCTTAAGGAGTTTTTCTCTCTCTAAAAAAGGCAATTGTTATTTTACAGTTTATAAACAGATTCTTGTAATGCCTGCTTCCTCCTTGAGACTGAAACAGAGCCCTGGAGGCTTAACACCTTCATACTATTGGGAGGATGTTTCATTTTTGCAAACATTTGTCAGTGGCTTGGTCTGTTCTCCTGGTCTATTAAATTCTTCCTGGAGCTATCAGATAGATAATATATGCCGGATGGATATCGGGAACATAGGCAGACATTTCATAAATGATTATTAAATGGGCAAAAATGTAAGAAGGGACAATACTAGTGGCCTTCAGGGTCATGGGCACTATACGAAGCACAGTAGGTGTTGATTTTTAATGGAGTCCTGTTCTTATTCCTTCCTTCCTCTTGACATAGACAGTGTGACATTTGTTAGTTGAAATCACAGCTAGAAAGACTAATGTTCCGATCAGGAATTAGTATTCTAGAGATCATTAGCTTTCTCTCTCTCTCTCTCTCTCTCTCTCTCTCTCTCTCTCTCTCTCTCTCTCTCTCTCTCTCTC